CAACGGGCGAGGCGTAGACCGGCGGCCAACGTTGGTGGAGGGGGTGGAGGGAGAAGACGCCGTGCAGCCGAACCCGCCACTACAGTCCCCGGGACTGAAGAAGACGAACAAGGTGAGATTTATTTTACTTAACTACAAATATGTATTTATTTTTATTTCTTTTTATTTATTTGTTCGGTCGAAGTATTAATTTTTTTCAAAAATTAATTAATTTTGTGAAGAAGAACAAGAGCCAGTCACGCCTGGACAGACCGCAACATCGTCTTCTTCAGTACCACGGCCTCCTCGGAAAGGGTCCCGAGTACGCAAGCCCAGGAATCCATATACTCCTAGTTAGTTAGTTTTATTTTTTGTATTGGATTTTGAGATATTTAATTTGATGGTTTTGTGTACATATTTCGTGGTTCATTTTTTTAGAAATAATGACACCGCATATCTCTTTGTACAGACAGTTTATATATTTAACTCCACTTATTATTTAGACAAAATTACTCTTTTTATTTTTCAGATATACTCTTTACATGGTTTTTTAATGTTTGGCGGTTTTTTAGTTTTATATCTTTGTTATTTCTTTTATTATTTTCATTTTAGTTAGTTTTTTATTGTAATTGTAAATTCTCCTATATTTTCTCTCTCCTTTATTTTCACACACCGATTCACTTAGTTCTCTTTTTTTCTAACTTTTCTTCTGTAAAATTCACGATTCACTTGTCTTATATTTTTTTTTTCTTTTCTTCTTTTGTAATATTCACGAAAACATTGAAGGAAAGTCTCAAAATTCAAAGCATATGGATCTCCGTTTGATCCTTCAGCGATGCAGCAAACATCAGGCTCTGATGCATCAAGCAATCCTTTAACGATGGTGAGCCGCCCTCGTGTATCTCCATCAGTGGGTTTTTGTCTCTACTGTATTTGACAAATTATTTATTTTCTCTTTTTTTTAACCCCAACACTCAGTAAAACACTTTTTTTTTTTGGATCACATGTATATATATACATAATACATTTGTTTATTATAAAAGAGGTGATGTTATATATTTTTATTGTAAATATAAAGTTGCTTTTATGTTGTTTCACGGTTATTTTATTGTTGTTTTGTTGTTACCTATATATATTATGAATTGATTAATCATTTTTTTGTTGTTGTTTTTAGGCATTAATCTTTGAAGAAAATAAGAAAAAGAAGAAGAAGAAGAAGAAGAAGAAGAAGAATGAAAAGAAAGAAAAATGAAGAAGAAAAAGAGAAAAAATAAAGAAGAGCGAGGAAGGAAGCAGTTGGAAGAAAGAGAAGAAAAATAAAGAAACAATCAGTTGGTTGAGAGGGATTAACAATCGGATATTTTGGGATATGGTTGGAATTATTTGGGTCAGATTTGGAATTGTAGAAAGCTTGGACATTTTATGGAATGATTTTTTAAAAGATAGTTAGTTATGTATTTTTCCCTTTTTTTTATCGTTAATTGTGCTTCACTTTTTTGTACTAGATTATTAGTTGACGAATGAATTGATATTAAAGTGATATTGTTTCGTGTTAAAAATGTTAAATCAAAATTTATAAAAAATCTTCATATTGAAAGATAACAATATAAATTCAGCCAAAATAAACGCGTTCGGTAGTAGCAAGCTCGTGAGCATCCAAGAGTCGAGCCCTAACTCAAAATAAATAAATAAATAAACAAAACCAAAAAATTAAATTTTATTATATAACAATCTCAGTCAATTATAAAATATATGTATATAGTATATATTAAAAAAAACTATATACTATAAAAAATATTTATATTCAAGTATAAGAATAAAATTTGTGCACAAATAATAGTGATAGCCTAGAGCGGCCTAATGGTAGGAGGTGTGCTTGTAGAAAACAGACTCGCCCACGTGTACATGATTTGAGTCCTCAATCCGGGTTCCTTCTACCATTTTTTTTTTCACAAACGCGGATTCTGAAAATCCGTGTTAATTCTAAATCTACATAAACACGGTTTTTCAGAATCCGTGTTGATTTTAATATTAAAAAAAAAATGAATAAATACTCAAACACGGATTTTGAAATTCCGTTTTTCGTGTTAACACGAATTTCGAAACTCCGTGTTTCTTAAAAACGTATCTTCATAATCCGTGTTTTGTTTAGTTAATTAGTGTTAATTACAAGATTAAAGGAACACGGATTTTCATAATCCGTGTTCGTAGTAAAATTACACATACACGGATTACCAAAATACGTGTTTCGGTAAAACACGGATTTTGAAAATCCGTCCGTTTTATTTTTGTCCACAATTTTTTTTTGTTTTATTTTAGTCCACTTATTTTTTATTTTTTTTAAATAAATAAATGATTCATATTATTTAGGAATTATGTCTATGTAATCATATTGAAGGTTACAAAATAGAAGTAATTTAAAATACAAAATTGGCAGAGGCAGCCAAAGAGTAACTAGACCAGACACACAGCGGCCGCAACTGCCTAATACACAAAATATAGTATATATTCAATTTCTCTTCAGCTATAACTTATAAGCACCCACCCCAGTGCATGAGGGCACTTAGTTGCTGGTGGAGAGATAAAGTTTCGTTTAAGCCAAAGATCAGGGTTCGATCTTGACTGTCGTGAGAGTAGGGGATGGGGCACTTTTAGTCTCCTAAGTGGATTAGTGAATTAGCCCCACCTCTCTGGGTGTGGAGCTCGTAGCCCGTTAAGGGCCATAAACCGGTTAGGCAGCACCAACACGGTGAGCTTGGAATGGCTTAGGAGAGCAAGGTGAAACCTCGGATGAATG